TTCTTCGTGATCTTGTGATTTGGGGATTTTAGGGTTTTCGTTTTGGATTAAGGGTTCTGATTTATGAATTTCTTGTGTCTTGTTTCTCCTCTGCAAATTGTTAATGCGATTTGGGGGTTAAGGTTTTCGAATTGGGGTTTTGTTTTATGATTTCATGTTTTGGAATTATTTGCAATTGTATAATGTTCTTGCATTTTGAGATTCTTTGGGTTCTGATTCAGAAATAAAACTTTGATGCTGGATTGCTTCTAACCTAATTGTAATTTCCTTTAACCTTAACTTTAATTTTTTTTCACGTCAATAACTTTATATTTTAACATTTACACATCAATTGACCTGAACTTGCCATGTAATGAATAATTGGACAAGTCATTCATTATTGACTAAGGTGGACATTACACCGATAGCACACCGTGAACAAAAAATACCAACTTGAACCATTTTTTACAAAACATGAGATCAGTCTGAACAACTCAAAAATAAAAAGATCACTTTAAATACAATTGGCATAATTAGGGACCAAAATTAATATTAAGCATAAGATTAACAACTAACATTTGTTTTATATATATATATATATATATATATATATATATATATATATATATATATAATATTTGTTCCTTATTTTTATAATTATAATATAAACTTATGTAATAAATTTATAATTTTTTTGAGTTTTTAAAAATCATTGTATATGTCTTTATTAACATTGTATTGGAGCCATGTCAAAACTATGTTAAATATGAAAAAATTATCTTTCAAATTAGATTTCACCAATAAGTATCATACGAGTGTAGTAGATATGTTAGTGTCCCATACATGTTGGAGGGGGAAACACACCATTTGTGAGGCATATTCGAGCATCTTATGTTCCAAACACATCCTAAATTACAATAAATTAACCCTCAAAATCGTGTGTAACTTGTATGTTGTTTTGTTGTTTAAAATACTATCATAATTTGTGCTTCGATCTTTGACACTACTTCTATTAGATAACCATGATCAAATGACGCATAAAAACAACAAAGGATGTTGTTAGGATATATTGTGTGCTGAATAAAAGGAAATAGATTAGTAATTAGTTGTGAGTTAGTTAGTTGGTTAAGGGGGCCTTTATAAGAAGGCAGGGACGTCTTGTGTCAAGGTACTTTTTGGATAATCTTGTAGATTGAGCTTTGGCTCTTTGTGAAGGGGAAACCCTTGGAGGAAGTAGTGCTCTTCTATTCGTGTATTCCTTGGTTACAATAATAATACATTTCTATTTCCAGTAATCTGGTGAGTGAGTGTGTGCTATTTTGAGTGATAGTTAGACTTCTTGACTAAAGAAGCCTAACAAATTGGTCCGATCTGCTGGATACCCTTAGGAGGGGACGGCCAGATCAAAGGTTGCAGATCAAGAAGTAATCAAGAAAGGGTGGAAGCATGGAAGGAAGAGACAATACCTTGGAGAGGAGGATGAGCGAACAAAAAATGAGCAGAACAGAACCGAAAATGAGCATGGCAGAATGGAGAATAAATATGCAAGAATGGAGAAGAAATATGCAAGAAATGCAGCAGGAAACCAGAGAACTCTTGCGAGTTCTTGGAGGAAGGACGTGGAACAAGGAAAAAGGATTAAAAGGTAGTCCAGGGTTTGTAGATGGAGATCAAGATTATGTTAATAGAGGAAAAATAGAAAGGAAAGATGAATTTCTTCCAGATGTCTTGAAAGGAAAGAAAGAAGAAAAGATAAAGATGGAGGCTAGGCAAGATAGTCTACTAGACACCAAGAAATCCAAGAAACCCTCATTTGCAGGAGAAAGTTCAACCAATAGTGAGAACAAAAGAGAAACAAAAGTTGTTGTTTTGAGTGTTGATGGTTTTGCAAGCATTAGAGGGCAGGATAGGAGAAAAGAAAATATATGTGGAGAGGAAGGCAATGACGAAAACTGTGTTAGAGACATTGGTGTGACTGTTGCAAAAAAGGTTGCTAAAGTTGTTGTTTTTACTACTACTGAGAAAGTTTCAAAACGTTTTATTTTTACTCCTACTGAGAAAGTTGCAAAAACTGTTGTTTTTACTACTGCTAAGAAAGTAGCAAAAGTTGTTGCTCTTTGACTCTTTGTGAAGGGGAAACCCTTGGAGGAGAGAGTGCTCTCCTATTCGTGTATTCTTTTGTTACAATAATAATACAATTCTGTTTCCAGTAATCTGGTGAAGGAGTGTGTGCTATTTTGAGTGATAGTTAGACTTCTTGACTAAAGAAGCCTAACAAATTGGTCTGATCTGCTGCATATCCTTAGGAGAGGACAACCAGATCAAAGGTTGCAGATCAAGAAGTGATCAAGAAAGGGTGGAAGCATGGAAGGAAGAGACAATACCTTGGAGAGAAACACGAGCGAACAAAAAATGAGCAAGGCAGAACTGAAAATGAGCATGGCAGAATGGAGAATAAATATGCAAGAATGGAGAAGAAATATTCAAGAAATGCAGCAGGAAACTAGAGAACTCTTGCGAGTTCTTAGAGGAAGGACATGGAACCAGGAAAAAGGATTAAAAGGCACTCTAGGGTCTGTAGATTATGTTAATAGAGGAAAAATAGAAAGGAGAGAAGAATTTCTTCTAGATGTCTTGAAAGGAAAGAAAGAAGGAAAGATAAGGATGGAGGCTAGGCAAGATAGTCTACTAGACATCAAGAAAGCCAAGAAACCCTCATACGGAGGAGAAATTTCAACCAATAGTGAGAAGAAAAGAGAAACAAAACCTGTTGTTTTGAGTGTTGATGGTTTTGCAAGCATTACAGGGCAGGATAAGAGAGAATAAAATATATGTGGTGAGGAAAACAATGACGAAAACTGTGATGGAGACATTGGTGTGACTGCTGCTGAAAAGGTTGCAAAAGCTGTTGTTTTTACTGATGCTAAGAAAGTTTCAAAAGCTGTTGTTTTTACTGCTATTGAGAAAGTTGCAAAAGCTGTTGTTTTTACTGCGGCTGAGAAAGTAGCAAAAGCTGTTGTTTTTACTTCTGCTGAGAAAGTAACAAAAGTTGTTGCTTTTACTACTGCTGAGAAAGTAGCAAAAGCTGTTGTTTTTACTGCTGCTGAGAAAGTTGCAAAATTTGTTGTTTTTAGTGGAAATAGTGTGGTAGGTTGTGGTGTGTATGTCAAAACAATGAACAAGGGGGAAGAATTGTTGAGGCATGGGTTTAAAACAAAGGTGTCAGGGAGCAACCCAGTTGAGTATGCAAGAGAGGAACTTTTGTAAGACCTCAAGAAAGTAAAGAAACACTTAGAACAACGAGAGTACTTGGCTAATGATGAAGAGAAGAAGGAAGAAAGAGGTCCACAATGCAGTAAACCAGATGAAGAACCACTTGTCCCGTGGGTTGAAGGAGTGGAGTTGTCCACAATTGAAGGGAAGGACACCTAGGGTCAAACAACAAGGGCAACAGAGGTTTTTGATGTTCAGAACATCAAAGGATCAATAAAGGTTCACCCAATAGGCAATAATATGGAAGAAAATGCAGTCTAAGGGTTCAAGACCTGGCAACAAAAATTCTAGAACCTTTCTTGGAAAAATCTGGCAACAACTCTACTAAGGATAGTTGAAGGGAACAGGAGAAGCATGTTATGTGAGAGTTGGGCAGCAGTAACACATATTGGGAGTGTGGCAATTTTAAGTGAGAATTTAAAAGTAGACGAAGGTAACCTTGTGAATCATTCAAATCTGGTTGGATCTTCATTTAATTTTCCTGGAACTGGATTTAGTGATGATACGTGGTTGAAGAAAGTTGTTCGCTTTCAGTCATTCTCTAGTTATACTGTTAAATCTTGTTTTCTTGAAAATAAGGGAGCAACAACTGCCGCAAGTGTTGTTGGTACAAGAACTGATGAAGTCAGAGATGTGAATTTGAGGATTTCACAAAATTGGGCTGAAAGAATTCAGGAAGAGTGGAAGTCATTGGAGGAGGATCTCTCATATCGACCACCACCCAAGGCCCCAGATTTAAAATTGCAAACAGTAGTAGTGGTATTAGATGGTTTGACAACAATAACAGGGACTGGGAGTGGGAAAAATTTCATCAAAAAATTCAAGATATGGTTGTCACAAACATATAAAACACTAGAAGACCAATGGCAGTAGTATTTCTTTACAGGGCTGCAATATAACGTTTAGAGGAAACAATTTAGGGTTCCAACCTTGAGGACAAGGTTGTTTTGCAACGGGATGTAATGTTAGGATATATTGTGTATTGAATAAAAGGAAATAAATTAGGAATTAGTTGTGACTTGGTTAGTTGGTTAGGGGGGCCTTTATAAGAAGGTAGGGAGATCTTGTGTCAGGGTACTTTTTGGATAATCTTGTAGATTGAGCTTTGACTCTTTGTGAAGGGGAAACCCTTGGAGGAGGGAGTGGTCTCCTATTCGTCTATTATTTGGTTACAATAATAATACAGTTCTGTTTCCAATAATCTGGTGAGTGAATGTGTGCTGTTTTGAGTGATAGTTAGACTTCTTAACTAAAGAAGCCTAACAGATGTTGTTGTACTACTGAAGAAGTGAGATGCAGACTGGTTGCTCAACTGAAAGAATTCTATATATTTATTAATAACAAGTTACAGAGGTTCATAACAGAAGCTAATGACAATTAACAAAACGAAGGGAAAAATTCAAGAATACCATACACATCTTACAACGATTACAAATTATTATTATTATTATTATTATATATATATATATATATATATATATATAAAGATTTTTCCTTTCTTGGTCCACTTTTTTTTACTTTTACCTTTCAAGTTACTTATTTATTTAAATTTAATTAATTTTTAAATTAAACAAATAAAAATCATCTAGGAAATAATAAAATTTATTTATATTAAATTGTAAAAATAACTTATATTTATTTTTATAATAATAATTTTATTAATTTTTTTTGTTATTATAAAAAAGTGAATAAACATACTGTTTTCACTAAGTATACATAAAACACATATTGCAGTTACTGACAGTTAATTGTTTCCCTCATTTTGGATGAATAACTTCCAAGTTTTGCGTCTCTCAATGTCCTACTGGTTCAATTTATGTTATGTTTATCTCCACTTGCAATTGCAACATAATCCATATCAGATGTCATAAAAATAAGGCCAGTTCTAACAAATGATGATCTTTGTCAGTCACATGCGAAGTGAGTCTAGCTATTGCTTGTTCTTTTGAAAGCATCTCATCTTTACGTTAAAAGTTTTCCTATATTTTTGTTCAACCATGTGAAGTTCCTACTTGAAATCTTTGTAACTTTTGTTACTACTTGCTTCCATCCATTTTACTTTTCCTAGCTCTTTTCTGTTTTGCCTTTTCTTCTTCAGTAAACCATTTATAATCTGAGGGAATAGCAAACAGATCCTCTTCATCAAATACCCTACTACTAGATTCCAAACTAGATGAATTAGATCTTGAAGGGGCCTTTATCCACTGAAACCATGATGATGATGAAGAGGACGAGGAATTTTCTTCCTCTTCTAGGTTCTTTTGGTCACCAGTAGGACTTGATGGGGCTGATTCAAACTCATCTACATTTTCTTGTTGTAATTCTTCAAACTTTGTGAAAGTCACCAATACTCTAACGGTGGACACCACAGGGATGGCTACCTACATTTCCAAAGTTAATAACATGGTAGAGTTTGAAATAAAAAAGGTAAAGATTAGATCAGCATGAAAAGAAGGTAAAGAAATCATAAACAATGTCAAAACTTCCCGCTTGGCAGCTAATAATTACTGGTAAACAATAAAAGTAACAAAGGAATACACACATAGATCTCCATTACGGAGAGATATTGTCCGCTCTTAACTAATCTCTCATGGATTTGCTTTTGGTACCACTTTAAAAGTATTTTATCTTTATATAAACTCATGTTCATCTTTTGTTTTATCAACGTGACTTTTTGTTAGTATCATAACAATTACCTATGTCTAAAATCTATGTTCTCGAGTCCTGAGAACTCTTGGTTTAGTTGAATTCTTCTCTTATATTTCAGGTCATGTGTTAATAACTTTATTATCCTTTTATTCTATTTATAGAGAGAATCAAGCAAGCAGAATTGGTTTTCCATTTAGAACTATAACCTTTTATTTATGTATTTTTTTCTTGAGAAGGTCCTCAAATTGAGTTCTGTGCTACTCTTACAGAAAACTTCGAGGTCTTGCTTGATAAATGTGAATGAATGTTCCAAAGATTATGTATGGCTGGATACATTCTCAAAATTTTCTCCTTCCTTCTTCAATATTTTCATTTTCATACCATTAGTCTCTGACATAACAATTACTTTGCACAATCGTAGCTAAAAAAGAAATGCACTATATCTAACCAACTTCTGTCTAATGTCCAGGTGACATGGTTATATATGTTTAACACAATTCAAACAGGAAAAAATGTTGCCACATGTTGGCTAAAACAATCTTCACTCTTCATGAATTAACTGTATATAGATAATACAATGAATTATATACTTTATGTTGATATTGGTTATTGAATTGAGCAACAGTATCCGTTTCTAGCTCAGATCTATTTCTGACTCCTAATCTGCACCTACTTTCACTTGATATCCTCCCATTTATAGACCAACAAACGATGTGCAGCAAACTACAGCATAGGTAGAATAAACAACCAAGTGTAACTAATCCTAGGAAGTGACACAGAAGAAAATAAAATGGAAGCAAAGCTATTAAAGAGTTCAACATACATATGCCTAGAATATTCATACTTCTAATAATAGGCCTTCAAAAGATGATAAAGCACATAACTTAACAGGGAAGGTTCCCATTGGAAGTTTAGTTGAAAGGAGTTCTCTTAATCTGCGAATTGCTTTAACTTTGTTTGCAGCAATGGCAAGAGTTCTTTGGTCACTTTCATTGGTCATGTCTGCCGAATCCAGCCAATGCGCATCTTTCAAATGCCTTCTTTCCTCCTCAGTCAATATATCATTGAATTCTTCACTCTCAGTTTCATTTTTATTGCAAGATGAGAAGAGCTCATCATCTGTCATAGCTCTAGGGACTCCTCTAGACTTTATGCTCACAACCACATTGTGCATATCATATACCTTAGCTTTCCAAGGCCCTACCATTTTTGTTTTCTCCTGCCTCCTCCAAGTCAACTGAATGAGTTACATCGATCCCCGGCCAAAAAATATTTGTTTTAGACATTGCAGCCACTTCTTGTTCAACCTCCCCCTCATTTGCTTGGTCAACATATTTGAGTTAGTCATTTGATCTAACAAACTCGGTACATATTTCTTTTGTCAACAATTTTTCTTAACAAAACGACAACAGTCAATTTTTATATATTTAGTTCTCTCGTGAAACACTGGATTTGATGCAATGTGGAGGACAACTTGATTATCACAATACATCTTCATAATCTGGATGTCACATAAGTTAAGCTCTCAAAGTAACTGCTTCACCCATATAAGTTCACACGTTAGTGATGTCATTGTCCTATATTCAACTTCAACAGTCGATCGAGCCACTACATTATGTTTCTTTTCCAGGAAATAATGTTTTGTCTAAGGAAAATACAATATCCAGTAGTATCGTCTGTCAATAGGAGAACTTGCCCAATTTGCATCACAATACCCAAAGACCTAAATGCTTTCTCTATCTTCATATAAGAAACCTTACTTGAGAGCCTTTTTAAGGTACCTTAGAATGCGAATGATAACATTTCAATGGCCAACATATGGATCCTGCATAAATTGACTAACCACTCCAATTGCAAAAGATAGATCAGGCCTTGTAATAGTAAGATAAATCAATTTTCCAACCAGTCCCCTATATCTTTTTGAGTCAGAGAATAATTCACCTTCTTTAATCATTAATTTCTTATTTGGGTCCATAAGACTGTTTGCTGGTCTACAATAAATCATATTTGTTTCTTGTAAGATATCAAGAGCATACTTCCTTTAAGAAATTACAACTCCATTTTTAGACTGAGCTACTTCAATGTCCAAGAAGTATTTGAGGCTCCCAAGTTCCAAACACATCCTAAATTACAATAAATTACCCTTCAAAATCGTGTGTAACTTTTATGTTGTGGTGTTGTTTAAGTGTGGTTTGTACAAAATCAAAGTTTTAAACTACTATCACAATTGTGCTTAGATCTTTAACACCACTTCTATTTGATAATCATAAGTAAATAAAGCATAAAAACTGCAAAGGATGTCATAATAAGATGAGTTCTAACAAATGATGGTCTAGATGTGAAATGAGTCTATAGCTCTTGCTTGTTCTTTTAAAATCACCTCATCAAAAAGTTTTCCTATACTTTTTGTTCAACCATGTGAAGTTCCTACTTGAAATGTTTGTAACTTTAGTTAGTTATTATTTATATCCATTTTACCTATCCTAGTTTTTTCTGTTTTGACTTTTCTTGTTGAGTAAGCCATTTATAATATGAGGGAATACAAATAGATCCTGCTCATCAAATACCCTAGTACTAGATTCCAACCTACATGAACTAGATCTTGAAGGGGTCTTTATCCACTGAAACCATGATGATGATGACGATGCTGATGAGGAATTTTCTTCCTCTTCTAGGTTCTTTTGGTCACCTGTAGGACTTGATGAGGCTTAGTCAAACTCATCTCCATTTTCTTGTTGTAGTTCTTCAAACTTTGTGAAAGTCACCAATAATCTAACAGTGGACACCACAGGAATGGCTAGCTATATTTCCAAAGTTAATGAGATGGTAAAGTTTGAAAAAAAGAAGGAAAGATTATAGATAAGCATGACAGAAGGAAAAGAAGTTATAAAGAATGTCAAAGTTTTCCTTTTTAATCCTAACAAGTAGAACCCACTTGGCAGCTAATAATTCCTGTCAAACAATAAAAATAAGAAAGGAACACACCAATGGGTAACCAATTACCATGTCTAAAATCTATGTCCTTCCCTAGCCAAATTCATGGTGAAATCTATGTTCTTAAGTCCTGAGAGAACTCCTGGTTTAGTTGAATTCTTCTCTTATATTTCAGGTCATGTGTTAATTATTTATAGAGAGAACCAAGAAAGCAGAATTCTGGTTTTCCACTTAGAACTATAACCTTTATTTTTTTTCTTGAGAAGGACTTCAAATTGATTTCTGTGCTACTCTTATAAAAAAGTTTGAAGTCTTGCTTGATAAATGTGAGTGAATATTCCAAATGATGATGTATGGTTGGATACATTCTCAAAGTTCACTCCTTCCTTCTTCAATATTTTCATTTTCATCTAACAGTAATGCATTGCATACCATTAGTCTCTGACATAACAATTACTTTGTACAACAACACTGATAGCTTCAAAAGAAATGTACTATATCTAACCAACTTCTGTCTAATGTCCAGGTGACATGGCTATATATTTTTAACACAATTCAAACAGGAAAAAGTGTTGCCACATGTTGGCTAAAACAATCTTCAATCTTCATGATTGAGCATTAGTGCTTTCTGATAATTTTCATGAAATACTGTCTTGGAGAAACAACTTGCCAACAATCATAGATTAGTTTAGATCAGTTTCCATCAGAAGCATTGAAGATCAAACATCAAATAATGCAGCTTTCAATCATTGAAAAACGTAATTGTACTATAATCAGAACATGATGTTCATTGTTAGATGTCATAAGATAATGGTAATGATAATTTTCCCCTTATGAGTACTGCATCAAGGCAAATAAGAGGGAAAGAACTAATGTAAAGATATAATGAATGTATTGATGTGGAAGAACTAAATCGAAGAACAAAAAGGACATACCCTGACTGGAAAGGACTCCTTTGGAAGTTTTGTTGTAAGGAGTTCTCTTAACCGACGAACTGCTTTAAGTCTCTCAGCAAGAACGTCAAGCATAGGTAGCAATTCATCAATTGTTAGTGGAAAGTTTTGGGAAAGCCAAAGAGAAGGCATCATCCCTCTTGTGTACTGGTTTTCACCATTTTTGGAAGTAAAGTTCTCATGGTTTGCATTTGTGGTTTTGTCCTTGTGGTCTCTATGTCCACCAGACTTTTCTTTCTTTTCTTTCTTTTCTTTCTTTTCTTTCTTTTCCTTCTTTTCCTTCTTCACACGGTTACCTTTTTCACATGGACCATTTTCATCTGTTGAATTAATTGCAGCTTCCAATTGCTTCTTTTCGTCATCTGTCAAAATGTCATCAATTTTTTCACCATCCTTCTTCTTCCTTTGTCTGGCCTCAGGTGGTGGAGCTCCAGGGATACTTTTGGATTTCACACTGAGAATCACATTGTGCATGTCATACACCTTGGCTTTCCATGGCCCCACCATTTCTTTCCTCTCCTTTTTCCTCCAAGTTACCTGGGGAACAAGAAGTGCCTCACTCACATCAATCCCAATCCTACATGAGTCAGTCCTATACTTCTGATTCAATTTCTTCTTAACCTCTTTCTCAGAAGGAGCAGCTATGCTGGGTGAAATCACAAGTACTTCCTTCTCTTTGTGTGAGACTTTGAACAAGGATCCAGGGAATTTTCTATCATCATCTTTATCACCATCACCAAAAAAAAGAATGCTCTGATTTGACCTCTTGATTTTCAAACCATCAAAGCCAGCCAAAGTCATGTCTGCCCTCATATTGCCACCCCTTTTCCAAATCTTGTAAGTGTCTGAAGGTGCAATCCTTGAGATGAAAGGTATCACAGAACTCTCAAAATGGAATGTAATCTCCATGTAGAAGTCCTTCATCCTTCTTAAAGTCCCTATATACCTAGGCAACCTTCTAACATACTTTTTCTCATAGTCACTCATATAGTACCTCATCATAACGATTGCTATTTTATCTTGTTTGTGAATGAGAGCTGCTCTCAGAGCAGTCCATCCTTCCTTGTTCTTCAACCTACCGTTTGCCCCAGCATCCATGAGCATCTCAGTTGCAATAAAATCACCATGTTTCACAGCAAGGTGAAGAGGGGTGTCACCGTTTGGTACATCCCTTCTATCCACCGTAGCAGAGATCACTGCACCCTTTTCTTCCTCCGCTAATGAAGCAGCCTCAGTTTTAATCTCTAAGGGGTTAGCTAGTTTTGGGAGACGCCCAAGTAACTCATCAAGAGCAATATGATCCCTCAACACTATGGCCTTGTGCACAGGGCTATGCTCATATGCTGAGACATCAATGCCTTCCATTGCAGATCTTTCCTTTCACACTATTATATATACAAAAATCGTGGAACCACAACGCATGATTCCATGAAATCAACAATTTCTGTCATCTGAATCAAGACGAACTCAAAAATTCAAACAGATCCATTCACAAGAATGCATGGATAGGTTTATGAAACTCGTGAATGAAATCAACTCCTATTTTGATCAAAAACAAGAAAAGAAGAAAAAATAATACTTATAATGGAAACTGGAAGTGAGGCTAAATTCATTTGAAGCAAAAGTCTTAGAATAGAAAATATTAGTTTAGGGCAGCATGAAAATTGAACTCTCCAAATTAAGCCACAGAAAATTGAGGGTCAAATTTTTCATTTTCATAATTTTGCCGATTTTCAGAAGAAGGTTTCTATGGTGAAGATGCTCATGTATAGGAATGGCTCATTGAAATAGGCTGAAGCAATGACCCACAATTCTTCAATCTTGACAGAGTTCCAACAAAATTTTCTTATAAAAATTAGACTTCAAATTTAAAATCCTAATTATACGTTATTAAACAAATTAATAAAAAAAGCGTTTAGTTCTTTTGAAAGTAAAATTATAAATTTAAGAATTCATGTTATCTAAGGAATGAATTCCAACTAAATGGTGTTAAATCTTTTTCCTAAAAGTTTTTACAATATAACAGTTTTGTCGTTTCATAATTTCAAAAATTAATAGAAAAGAGTGTTATATGATATTTTTGTGTTTTAATTAAAGTTTTAGATGGTACACTTCATAGATATTTTGGATTATACGTTGTAAATTATATTTCGAATATAAATTTAGAAGAATCTACACTGCAAAAATTATATTCCAAAATTATAGAGTCCATAACATAAATTTATATTTCAAACAATCTGTAATATAAATGTAAATTATATTTTTAAATTGTATAATCAACAAATGTAAAACCTATATTTCAAATTATACTATTTATAATATAAATTTGAAAGATAATCCAAAATACATTTCAAATTATATAATCCATAATACAAAACAACATTAGTCGCAAACCTTTTAATAATAACTAAATCATTTCACCAAGACTTCGGAGGTGTAGGAAGAAAACATTGGGTGGAAGAAGGAGTCCCACTAAGACAAGTTCAATGATAACTGATCCCAAAATTCATTAATAATAACAATTCTGAAATAGAATAAAAAGTAAATGATAAAGATCAAAGCGAATAAGCAAATTGTTGAGTTTATTTACATGAATGAAATCAGGGAAAAGAATTATTATAACCAAACAAAGGTGAATTTAAACTGCAATCATGAATATGAAAAGTTTGATTGCTGTGATTGCAACTATCCTGAGTTAATAATGGTTTTCCACATGTTCTGAAACACAATCAACAAATTCTTTGCAGCTATCATTGCATGAATCACAGTGTTTCTTTTCCTTATGCCACATGCTTCAAATAGTTAATGCATAACTCCTTGGATAATCCCACCCCACATGAAAGATAACTTCAAATTCAATTTCCAGAAAATGGCCAAAGTTCTCCAAACAACCAAAGCACTTCCAAGTTTGGAGCTTGCTCATGAAACGTCACTCACACTGGCACAATTAGCTATGACTTTTTCCTTTCTTTGATTTGTTCTTCTCTTGCATCTTCTTTTTCTTTGCTTCAGCACTGATCCAAGTATAGTCAGATGGAATTGCAAATGGGTCTTGAATATTTTCTATCCTACTGCTGGATCCTTGAGTAGATGTACTTGAGCGATAAGGAGCCTTTATCCATTGAAACCAAGATGATGCCGAGAAATGTGGCACTGCAGGGCTCTCTTGGCCGGTTGCAGAAGGACTTGACGGCGGCGTCGCGAATTCTTCTACAGGCTGTAGTTCTTCAAACTTTGTGAAGGTAACCAACACCCTGATAGTAGGAACCACAGGGATGGCAACCTGTGTATCATGCAAGAGAAAATGGATTAACATCATTTGCAAAGAAAAAAAAGAAAACATGTGAAGAGAAATCGAAAAGCCAACAAACACAGTAATCATGTGATGTACAACAAAGTTAAATCTCCCTTTCCTAAAGAAGCTCAATAGATATGGTTCAGTTTTTGTTGTGAAAATTGAGCAATCTTTGATGTTCCTGTATACTTAAGTGATGAAAACGTGCAGCCTAAGTGAACTAATGCTTTCTTCTTACCGACTGTATACTTCCATCTCGTCTTCAGGACGGGTACAAACCAGTGTGCACATGATTTTTCACTTATTCTAATCACCAAAACACTTAAGAACTGAAATTACCTCCTCTAACACAAAACCATTCATGAATCCCCACTTAAAACCTTAAGCTCTTAAGTAGTTGGTTCATGAATACTACATTCTGCATTACTAAGAGAATAAGCTCTGAGCTTTTCCACCCAGTGAAACTTATTTTGGTTTTTCTGAAACAGTCTCTTAAAATGGGAATGTCTTTCATTACAAGAAAGAAATCTTAATCATTGATAGAGATAAAGTATGTAACTCTCAAGCTATCTGTGAAAAATTAAAGTTGCAAAAAGAATAATACAAAAGTCATCATGGTTTTAGCCCAAAATTTTCAATAATGTTATTTTTTTTTCTAAAATCAAATAAGAATAAAAAGTTATCTTAAAAATGAAAGGAAAGAAAAGGCATCAAAAAAATAAAAATAAAGAAACTAAGACAAAAGAATAACTCAGCAAGGTATAACTGTGTGTATACACTTGTGTATAAATAAAGAGATAATAGCAAAACACTAATACACTCTTTGAAACACAATGCAAAGTACAATATTTTTTTTGTATCCAACCTAATCCCAAGAAAAACAAATTACAATGCAAGCTCATTGGCATGAATATTAAACTGTAAAACATTACTACTAGTTGTCAGAACAACAATTGGTAACTAACATTGACCAGCTAGCACAAACATTTTTTACTTTGCAATAATAATGATACTGACACACAATGACACTTAAGCTGTCATTGATGCAGACATTATTATCATTATCACTTATCAATTCATACAGAATCATTATCACATACTCCATGTTGTAGGGTTCTCTGTTTTTCAGCAAAGGGCTATTTTTGAGTTACTTAAGACTGCGTGGTTATTATGTTGGGTTCCCCTTGAACTATATGTAGATAATACAATGATTTATATACTTTATCTTGATATTGGTTATTGATTTGAGCAACAGTATCCGTTTCTAGCTCAGATCTATTCCCAGCTCCCATTTTGCAACTACTTTCACTTGATATCCTCCCATTTATAAACCAACAAATTATGTGCAGCACACTACAGCATAAGTAGAATAAGCAAGTCTAATTCATCATAGTAAGTGATACAAAAGAAAATAAAATAGAAGCAGAGCAATCAAAGAGTTCAAGATACATATGCCTAGAATATTCATACTTCTAGTAACAGGCCTTAACAAGATGACAAGCACAGACCTTAACAGGGAAGGTTCCCATTGGAAGTTTAGTTGTAAGGAGTTCTCTTAATCGGCGAATTGCTTTAACTTTGTTTGCAACAATGTCCAGCAACGGCAGGAGTTCTTCAGTTTTCAGTGGAAAGTTAGGGGAAAGCCAAAGAATAGGACGCAACCCTTTCTTGTATTCATTTTCACGATTTCCATCTTTTTGACGACTTCTGCCATCAGAACTTGCAGAAGAAGCCTTGGCATCTTTTTTCCTCCTGGACTCATCACCCTTCACAGCTATCTCAACAGAATGTCTTCCTGGCTTAGTCTGATTTCTTGAAGGAGAATCCCCTAACAAATCACTCACCTTTTCTTCTACACAAAGAGAACTTCTTGGTGCAGCAATCTTCTTTGGCGCCTCAGGTTTCGAATCCTTTTTCCTCCATCCACCAAACCATCCTTTCTTTTCCTGCTTATTTTCTCCACTCTTGTTACAATTTCCATCTTCAATGGGAATATCTCTATGTTCATAGCAGCTGTGACGATGTCCAATGACAACCTCATCACTCTCGTTGGTCATGTCCACCGAATCCAGCCGAAGCGCATCTTCCAATTGCCTTCTTTCCTCCTCAGTCAATATATCATTGAACTCTTCACTCTCAGTTTCATTTTCATTGCAAGATGAGAAGAGCTCATCATCTGTCATGGCTCCAGGAACTCCTCTAGACTTTATGCTCACAACCACATTGTGCATATCATACACCTTAGCTTTCCAAGGGCCTACCATTTCTGTTTTCTCCTGCCTCCTCCAAGTCAACTGAGGCAAAAGAACTGCCTGAGTTACATCGATCCCCGGCCGAAAAATATTTGTTTTAGACATTGCAGCCACTTCTTGCTGAACCTCCTCCTCATTTGCTGGAAATCCAGCATCATCTAGGGCATTGAGTACCTCTTTTTCTTTGTGTGAGATCATGCAGAGTGACCCAGGTGGAACTTTCCCATCCTCTGAACCATCACCAAGGAAAAGAATGCTCTGATCTGATCTCTGGATTCTAAAACCATCAAAACCAGCCAAAGTCATGTCTGCCCTTAGATTTGCACCCCTCTTCCAAATCTTGTAGGTGTCTGAAGGAGCAATCCTTGAGATGAAAGGAATCACAGAACTCTCAAAATGGAATGTAATCTCCATGTAGAAGTCTCTCATTCTCCGCATGGTCCCTACCAATCGAGGCAACCTTCTGCACCATTTTGCCCAAGCCAGAGGCTGGTAGTGCTTAATTATTATCTTGGCAATACCCTCTTCTCTGTTGCAAATAGCTTCTTGAAGAGCACTCCACCCCTGCTCATTCTGCAGACTCCAATCTGCTCCAGCAACCATAAGCATCTCCGTGGCAACTTCATCCCCCAATTTCACAGCCAAATGAAGAGGAGTATCCCGGTTTGGCACATCTCGCCGGTCAATCAAAGTGGAAATGGCATCAGCCTTTTCTTCCTCCGCAATCGAAACCGCTTCGGTGTGAATCTCCGCCGTGTTACGCAGCCGTGGGAGGGCGGCAAGAATCTTCTTAAGTTCAGCATAATCCTTTGAAACTATGGCCTTGTGCACAGGACTATGACCATACTTTGTAGCATCAATCCCCGCCATACCTCAACAGCACAAGGGATAACACACCACCACCAACCCCCACTACCAATCACAAGCATAAAACACACGCCACCATGAAAAAAAAATCTAAACTTTACGCAATTGGGTGCCCCACTCAAAATTGCTCAATCCAACCAACCAGC